TAGGAGGAGTCTATACAGAAGGACTTAATTTTGTGTCACGTAGGGCACCCCTGCAGAGACCGGCACCGTCCGTTCCCGGTTTTCTCTCATCCATCAGATGCGGGCGGAACAGGACTGGACACGGTAGGGTGTCTCGGATTGTGACGTCATGTAGGGTCGGCTACGTGATGGTCAACATCTTTTGTCAACAAGAAATTGCTGTTTTCTTTGAAAGACCTTTTTGGGAATTCCCCCGACGACGGTTACCGTTCAACTGACGAATATGCATTACGCTTGCTAAAGGTTTGTAGACAGTTGCTAAAGGATTATGAGCAATTTAACTACACAGAAATATACTCGACGAATGTGTATTAATGCTTAAATAACTAGAAAAACTATAAAACTATCATCCTTGTTAACAACTGATTTAAATGCGGTTAATTAAGAAACTTTAAAAAGTAATCCTAATTTTAAAATTTAATCGAATAATAAAACCCGAAAATCTTGTTTGACGAACAAAAATAATTTAATTACGAGTCGATCCGAAATAAAACTTTCCACGATCTTTAAGATTCTTAATGTAATGCGAAATAAAATTGAAATCATTTTAAATGGAATTATCTTTTAGTGCAAACTTTTTTGATAATCATGTAAATAAACTATTTTACGATGAAAATGTCTGAAGATGCAGCCCACGTCTAGTTAACATTACTAGAGAAATGCTTTATATTCATATAAACTTACACTACTAATGGTGCTCGACTTTGTTTTATCGACATTAAATTTTTTAAATATTTAGTGGGATATAAACAATTTAAAATATTTACTTTTTACATTTATAAAATTCTCTGAAAGAATTTTAAATTTCAGTAAAAATTAAAAAGAGAGTAAATGCTTAGAAACTTTAACCTGTTCAGTTATTATTGCGGGATGTAAAATTGAGGCTATTAGTCGTGTAAATAATAGAATGATTCTTATGTTGCTGGCTTCAACTATTTATAGGAAGAAAATAGTTTCTCGTATTTTGGATTCATTTTGATTTCTCCATTTCCCAATGCGATCAAGGAAGAAACTGCAATCTTCATTCTATCCCATTCGGCAGATTAACCCTTTTAAGTTTTGGCAAAAGGAAGACAAACTGTAATGAATGCACGACTAGGGAATAGAATGAATCCAACTCCTTGGCGTAATTACAGAAGGAGATAGGCTCCACCTGCTGTTAACATTAAGTCGGTTCCCAAGTGGTCGGGTGCAGTTTTCCACCGGGGACCAAAACTCTTATTTCTTAAAGAAAAACTGTTATTAAACAGAGCTGCCTCCAGGGAACCGTGGCTGTAGTAGTTCCCTTTATTAGAATCCGGTTGAGCACGCATTTAGCCTCCCCCTCAGAAAACGTGCTGCTACTGTACCCACTCCCAAGTTGGTACTCCCTGCGTCCCCCAAAGCTGAACGAAGAGAGGAAAAAGGAGAGAAAAGAGCTCTCGCTATTAAGGTCTGCAGTCTGATAGGCGTCCCCGTTTTCTGAGCTCCGGGTTCAATTCCCTTGTTGGACATCTTAATTTGCTTCTCAAAACTTCGGCAGTGCCGAACTGGGACCTGGAGACCTACTGCACCGCTCGATGCACACACGAAGAGGCTTAGTTGACTGTGCTCCCTCGACGAAGTAAAGGAAAAGCGTTTTCAGCATCTACACGTACATTGGTGCGTGGCTGAAAATGATAGAATTATTTTATTTTAAGAGAGTACAGATGCATGCAAAAGTGTTTTTTTTTTCCTCAGAAGCAATGGGAACGTCTTCCTGTCTTCAGTAATCCTCTCCATCAAACCCCAACTCGCGTACACGTCACTAGGTTGTGAAAAGTCCCTCTTCGGTTGGCAAAGGGTTACACCCCTCTCCGTCCCGCGAGAATCGAACCAGAGACAAAACATTTGATATATGAAAAATAGAATTTTTAATGAAAGTCGAAATATTTTTGGAAGATAAACTATTCAATAACAAACTACTAATCGGCCAATACTTTTATAATTCGGAGAATTTATTTATTAAGCATCTCTAGATAATGAATGTGTGGGTGTCCTCGGATGTGAGAGGATGGGTCGCCATAGAAACAGCCACCATCTTATCCCGGAGGCATGCAAATTACCTAAATGACAATTGCTTGGCTGTCAGTGAAATGGAAGAAGAGCCAACGGCACTTCCATAGACCAAAGCTTTGAAGAGTGAGCGGACCGATAATGAGGTGAAGTCCGGTCTTCGTAGTAGTAAATTACTTCTTCAGACTGTAAAAGGAGGACGGTAGGGGAAAATGGGGAGGAAATGAGAAATTGTTGTATTACGGGTTGCGTAAAGATGCTAGTCATCTACGAGCCAACCCACCTGTCTCCAAAGCCTTCCAGTGTATTGTGGGAGAAAAATCACTCCTCTGTCGATTACAGCCGCTCTTGATGAAATACTTTCTCGTTTTACCACTTTCTCCAAGTTTGGTTTTATTTTTCGATTGAACTTCTCGAATATGATAAAATTAAAACAGTTACGTCGAATTTGGAGAAGATAAAATTGATAAAAGATGCATTAAAAATCCATTTGTTTTTTTTGGCATGTCTAATTTAAAAAGAAAAAAATTCCTACATGGCCATAATTTTTCTGCAGTGATTTGTTAAATTTATTTATTTATTTCACTAACAATCTACGTATTTAATAAAGTATAATTTATATTTATTAAGCTCTTCTCGAGGCAAGAAATTTTCTTTTTAGATGCAAATTTAATTTGTAAAATTTATATTAAAAATTCTGTTTTTACCAATAAAATTTAGTTATAAATTACATTTATTAACACCAGAGACATTGTTATGTTATTTTTACAAGATCAAATGCAGAGATTATTGAACAATTTTGGAAGATAAATACGTGAAAGAATCCCAACTGTAATTACTGCTACAGTATCGTGAAGCGAGGAAAAGGTGGGAAAAAAACACAACCAATTTGTCTTTGCTGTCTCGATACTCCAGCCCAGTTATTAGCAAACATCCACATGGACATCTTGATTGACAAGGTTGTCCAAATAGCTGAGAAAATTTAGTCAGTAGATAAAAGAGGAAGAATAACAGGGACAAACAAACCGCAACATCATCATCAATCAACTATAGACGGAGGATACTGGTGACACGTCGATACAAATTTCAGATTTCCAGTAAACTTCTGGCGATAAGACGAGGAAAAATTCAGAAAGATAATGATAAATAACTAAAGATTATTCGAATTAATTGTAATTCTACTCGAAGAACAAGTAGAACTGACAAAAATGACACACGACAAATAACGGTTAATGTATTACTCGTTATTTCAACTCGGTTGGTTCGGACTAATTTGTCAAATTTGAACTATGAGCAAAACGGGGGCGAAATTGCAGAAGGGGATAGAAAAAGCCTGTTATAATCGAGTCGACCGGTAATTGAAAGTAGAGTATGCACCTATCAGTCATCTTTGAACTCGATGAATGATACAAGAGCGTTATAGCGTCGTTTGTGGTGTAAAGTTGGCTACGATGGATATTTATTGCCACTGCACCTAATGAACCAACCGTTGCTGCACAATAGGAAGAGAATTTCACAGCTTTCTGTCTGCATCCGGTTTCTATAGGAAGAGTCTCCGGAGGGATTTGGATGTGATTAGTCAGGGGAATCCAATACACAGCGGTGCGCCTTTCTTCCAGCACATTCGTTCCCAATTGGTCGGAACTTAGATTTTAGTGTTCATCTGTGAAGTGTTCGTGCCTTTTCTACTGTTGATGAACTGTTAAAATGCGAATAAATTTAACAGTTTAAAGTAATGAAAGTAATGCATGCGGGATTTTGATTTAGTGCGAAACAACTCTCTAAGCGATCGCCAGCAAATTAAGATAATAATGTGTTTAGTTTCCTTTCGGTAATAGGAAAGGATATGGTGATGATTAAGTTTGAACCAAAAAATTTCCCCTTTTTTCTCCTCCAGCTTGCACAATTAGAGGAGAAAATTTTTTTATTCGACACAGGCGGTTACTAACAGGACCATTTTTTTGTTTCCACCAGCGTGCTTTTATAATTCCAGACACGAAACTATTTTTCTCTATTAAATTTTGTCCTAATTAAAATGCACGTTTTACCCTCGATTCCTGCATCGTTTTAGAACATTTTGCAAATTCTTACATCGTTATACAACTCATTATACAGAATTTATCTTTAAGCAGTTTAGGGTTTAGACTATTAATCTATGTAAAAGACACTAAGGCCTTTTATGAGCTGCTTTTTTTCTTCTCTACGTAACTAGATTGTTTCATAAACACTGTCTGAGATTGATCTCACTAACAGAATTTCGCATTATCATCCCACACCAGCTTTAACGAACGATTTTAATTCTGCTCTTTAATTTACTTAGCTTACACATAGAATTGTGAAGAGTATATTTTTAAAAAATTTATAATTAAGACGATTAAACAGCGTAACACGTTTAGGTTTTAAGCGTGTGCAAGTTTTTAAGATGTGCTTTAAACACTTTACATGTAAGAAAAAGTGCGCTTACAGTATATTGAACTCTTAAGCTTAGCAAACAATTCATTTAAACACAAATTTTTTTAATCAGATTAATTTATTGGATTAGTTTAATCTACGAATTCATCAGGAAAGACATATAAGTTCCTTTTTTAATTGTAATAGCAGCGTGATAAGATCAAAATAATGTTGTTTATAAATGTATAAATTTAAAGAGAATGTTAAATAATAGACGAAATAATTTTGACAATTTTAATGTTGGCAACGATAAAAAGGTGTTGCGCCTGTCAAGTAGAGGAAAGAGCTGGTAGAAATTTCCTCCAGTAAAAATTCACCTTAAGTATATGCAGTTTGTTTTCTCCTCGGAGACCAGAGAATCGACGCATGCCCTTCCACATCAATCGATTCATTGTTAGCAGCCTGTTCAGATGCGGCCGAGAGGATATTGAATATAAAACATCAGAACAAATAAAAACTTAAAAGCAAGCACTTACCAGCTGAACACTCGAAATTGCGATGATCCAAAAAGGCTTGAAGATTATCCAGACGAGAACCGCAAGTTTCGCAGCGATAAGAATCACGTGATTCGGGCCCGTCTTTATCCACACTACCAATATTTTCTTTATCTGAAAAAGATACTCTGGTCAGACTCGACATCTAGCAAAATACGTTTAGCAACTTATCCCAGGACCATTTATCATTACAGATTACACCCAGAACATTGATTCTAAGGTTCTATAATCTAATTATTAAACTGTACGGCATGACGTCATTTCGTCCACGTGATCAGCCCGGGACGTGCAAGGTCTGCAAATGAACACGTCAAGTAATACACGAGAGGAGTTGCGGTTTTGCCAAACTTCGCACGGACAAACGCTTATATCCAGCCGATTGGGATGGTAACGTTATTATTATCTCGTTCACAACACCTATCATTAGCAAAAATTTTACGAAATTTTCATGTCACACTTTATACTGTTGCTAATTTTCTTCCCATGGGGGTAGGGTTGAAGGGATAAGGGGTGGAAAAAAGGATGGGATGACTTCTTTGTTATTCCTTCGCTGACAGCCTGATGGATTAAGATACTTCTGTCAATCAACGTAAAACTAATAAGTGAAATTATCTAAACTTATGATCAGTTGCGGTTTAACTAAGGCCAGGTGTTAGCCACTTATTTGCTAAGCTGAATAAACGAAAGTTAATAAGCGACCTCAGATTGTTCAAAATGAACGCTTTCATTAATTCTTAAGCCTACGACAAAAACTTTGCTCGGTGTTTAAAATTCTGTGCACAAATGAATGACAAAGGATCGATAGATCTTCCTATTTAATCAGATATATTTACGCTAAAAATTACAGTTGTTGTTTTTGAATTAGTCTAACGAGTGAATCGAGCTTGTTTTTTTCGCCTTATAACGGGTTGATAATATTTTTGATAATTGCATCATCTTTATGTTTTTCTAAACGCTCCTCACGAGACGTCGTCTATTAAAACGGATATATATTTTAGTTTATCATTATAAAGAAAAAAATTGATCTTCAAACCTCTGATCATTGCTGAGATGATATATACAGATTATATAAATCGCCGACAACTTTCTCGTGCAGCTGATCTTCCTAAAGTGCTGCCTCATAGCCAATTTACTCACGCAATGTCAACATGTGCTACAAACTAGCATGCCCAGTTTACGAAATAATTGCATGGAAGTATATTCACGCATCACGAAATGTTTGCAAGAATACCAGAACGAATTAGATTATATCGAAAGTATTTTGATGGTTCTATAATGTTTGGCGATGAAAGATGCTTTTGATATTCTGAACATTTTTGCAAAATAACGGGTTTGAAAACAAGGCGAGAAGAAATCTTTTGCCAAGCCGATTAATTGATCTCTAGCTGGTTCATTGCTTATTACTTCTATTAGTTAATGATACGCTTGAGTTACGCGCTACCGACGAAAAGAATTCATACAAAAAACTTTAATGGTATCTGTTAGAAGTGTAATTCATACTCGAAATTATTCAGCAATTAATAACACTCGGTAGTATTGAGATTAAGGAAAAAGAGCTTACAAATTTCTCATGATTCGCAAGGTGTTATTAAAAGAAGTTTCATTGTGACATGCGAGGGAACAATTTATAAGAAAAACTGATATTGGACGCCTATAATTTTCTTCCACCTCGGTTGGGTATATGGTCCAATGAGGAGGAAAAAAGCTTTTCAGACCGACAATTATATTCAAAGGAGTCGAAATAAAAACACCGCTATGTGTGACAATTATAGATTCGATGAGGAACATCTCCTTTCGCGGTACCCAAAAACCAGTCTTTAGCCAAAGGGTTCGTCCCATGCACCATTTGAAATGTAAACAGGACAAACAGTGAGCATGGAATTAATAATACCTAATTTGTTCGACTGTCTTGAGTCGAGAGAAGAAAATATTCTTTTACCACGCAATTATTAAAATCACGACGACGTCGGTCTTAAGTTTTTCATTTCACTTTTCCTGTCGTCTAATCAACAAGATCGGTAATTAGGTTTCTCTACCCGATGTAGCTTGTTAAATGACATTTAGTTAACAACTTTTCTTATTGGCAAGGTGTGGTTATGATTTTTTTCCTTGGACAAAGTTTTTAAATAAGTCACGCCGAGCGGCATAGATTAGAATGCGAGCGATCCGTGCAACGAAAGCAAGAGACCATCCACATAGTAATTAAAGATTGAATTTATAGATTTACCGAGATATTTATTTGCCTCGGGAGTTTAAAAACTGCCAAAACGATGACCACAATTCTCAAATCGTATTATGCTTTTAAGCTATAGCGATCTGTAACTTATACACATTTCGAAGGTGCTATTTTTAAACGCCAAAAATAATGGATAGAAACTTAGGGGAAAGATAAATTTAAAATTGAGCGTGAATTATTAAAAGGACATCATCAATCAGAGTAGAAATATCATCTTTTAGATGGAGCCCAATCTCGACTATCCTCACAGAAAGTAAGGGGAAAAAGTTATACTAACCAGTTGAGTTGACAGAAGTCGATTGGACGGTAGAGTCTAGATGCACTGAAATACCTGAGTACAACAGAGTTACGAAAAACAATTGCCCCGGGCAACTATCGACCTATTTCTTCTCAAAATGTCAATAGAAAGTCATAAGGAGTAAATGCACTAACAATTTAAACATAAACCAATTATTATGAAGTTTATTAAAATAAATAATTAAATTTCACTAATAAAGAGCGGAGTTTTTTGCAATTTTTTAATGTAACTAAATTGCAATCTTCTTTTAAAGAAAACAGATTTATTATTAGGTTTTTTTCTTCTTCTTCGAGTTTTAATAGAGTGAAAGGTGAATGACGACATCTGTTAAATAATTTCAATTAACTCATTATGAATGGGGATAAATTTTCTTGATGATTTACTATTCGAATAGTTCCTTTTGCCAGAAATTAGCGGAACAGAATAATAAATAGGTAGGCTACTGTAATAATAAAGCGCATTGAAAAATAAAGCGAGCGCAGTCAATTTCATTACGTCAAGAGCTTTGGAGAGATAGATGGAGGTAATCCTGTCAAAATTTTTCTAGCCTATTGTCTTTAACGACATGTCCACCTCACGGGTCAAACTTAAATGAAGCGATGGAGGTCGTTGACTCAGCACAGGTTAATTCGTTCCCTGTGAGTACGTGTCGTGGCAGAGCAACAGGTGTGCAGGCCAGGGGGCAAGGGGAGGAGACAACATCAACCCCTTTGCCACTAGCTCCACAGAATGACTAATTTGTTGACGTTTGACGTTCGTCTTTCGTAATGGACTTCTATAGACTGTGGCAAATCTTTGGCAATTAAAGCGTTGACCACAGCATCTCGATCGCACTTAAATCTATTGATATCTAGAGAATGAGATGTCAAATTAGCGAATATTTGACAGATTGAGATTATTACTTAAGAGGAGAAGGCGGTCGGGTTCGATAATAATAAATGAAAGGTGAAAAGATGATCGAAATACAATCAATACTGCGCTATTTTTTTAATATATATTTTTTTAAGACTCAACGGAAGCTAATGTCTATGCATCATCATATAACTATGCCTCAATTACTGTGGGAAATGGGTGTTGTCGATAGTCTTGTTATCGGCTAGACAGTTTAAAAACGCATTATCTCTCAGTATACAATAAGATCCAATCTACTTTAACGTTCGGACCACCACGGATACCAAAAGGAAAATGAATTTGTCATTTGATATTCCAATACGAAACAACAGGAATATTAACATTTTCTTTTTTTTTAATCTCTGATAATGAATGGGTTTGCAGCCTTTAATTAAACGTCTTATCGTATTATTCCTTTCTCTTTTTTTTTAAAAAAAATAAGAATCCTAAACTAATTAAATAGCAAATTATTGACTTTGAGAAGCGGGATGAAATATTCATTAATACAAAGGTGATTGATTCCAAATTGGTGAGTAATCAAATGGCCCATGAATTAGAATAGATTATCAGAAGCGGTTAATAGAGATAAACTGATCTACACTATCCAAAAAATGAAATATATTTTTGCCTGGAGCTAAGAATTGGCTATTACATGGCAAAAGATTATAAAAAGATGAACTGCTATGCAGGAAATGGGTGATAAAATAGGGATCCAAAGGCTGAATAATTACCAAAAAAAGGTACCCTTTTCTAATCGGTTATACTTTTCATAACGACGACGTGAATGGCTTTCAAACGAGAAGTTCCCGGGGCGAACGTTCAAATTAATAATTCCTTCCAAATTAGAATTAATTAAAAATAAATAGGAAAACATAATAAACAATTTACTCATTACTAGACAATTGTCTATGTTCAATTCAAATCAATCTACTCATATTTTTCTTTTTCCTTTTTCGTTAAGAGTAATAAAATACATTCATTATACTCTTAAAAAGCAATTTCGAGACTAATAAACAGTTAAAAAGTAAAACTAAGGAGAGATATTGTTATTATTTATTATATTTTTTCATGTAAATTTTTAAAATCTATATAATTAAGTACGTTATTAAATAAGAATTATACACATTATGTCATACAATGTATTTATATTAGCCTATGTAATATATATATTTATACGCAAAAATAGTGTATTACATAATTTGAAAATCATCTGGGAGTTTTTCAATTAATTCTGCAATTTAATTACGGTAAAAAATTATGGTAAAGTCAGTCTATCAAACAAAAGCTGACATCGTATACTAAAAAAAACGGTAAAATTTCGCTAACAATTAACCGAAAAAGACTGAACAACAACTTCGTAAACATTATCAATCAATCATCCCAAAGTGAACAGAAAGTAACCGAGTTACTTTGTGGCGTAATTTTTTATTCATTACTATTTTCTAATTATAATGCAAGCGAATACAATTCCATCATCTCTAAAATATTTATTTCAAAATTATATAATTTGCATTTGGTTTTATTTTAAAAATAACATTTTTTTTATTTTTATTTTTTAAGCTCATCCGAATAAAAAAAAATTATATATATATATGTTAAGGAGAATTGAAGTTTCCTTTTACTTTCATCACTTAAAAAACCGTTTGCCAGTCACATCCTATAGTCCATGACATTGCCTGATACAAGTCG